ACCGAGTTCAGCTTCACGCCGAGACATTCTTGTCTAGATCAATTCCATCCTGACTCGGAAACTTTTAGAAATGATCTTATATTATGGGATGGAACCAAAAGGAGTAGGGAACTCGTTGGCGACGGAATGGGCTTTACCTTCCCTGCTGCTGCTGCCTGATTTTTTTTCTTTTGTTCTTTTTCACTCAGTTTTCTTTGTCTGATTTTGTGGTTTCCTGACCATTTTTTCTATTTTCTCTTCTACCTTATTTATTTATTTTTCAAGAAATGTTCAAACTTTCAAAAATTGTTCATGTTTTTCAAAATTATGTGTTTTTTTCTTCAAAAAATGCTTGAATTTGAGAGAAGTTCACAATTTTTAAAATCTTTGGAATTATAAAAATTGTTCATGATTACAAAAAATCGTTTTTTTTTCAAGTCGTGGACATTTTGGAATTTCATTATTTTTTGAACTCATGAACACTTTTCTAATTCACAAATTTTTTTGAATTTGGCAAGAATTTTTGTATTTCATGAACCTTTTTGAATTTACGGATTTTTTTGAGCATGCACACATTATTTTAAATTTTTTATTCACATTTTTTTTCTAAAACCATAACCTTTTCTTGTAGTTGTGATTTTTTTTCTCCAAATTAAAATTGAACTGGCCGAAAAAAGCGAAATGAGAAAAACAAAAACAGACTTGCGGTCTCTCGATGGGCCAGGCCCAATCTCGCGCGGTCTATAAAAGCAGCGCCCCTCGTGGGTGCTTTCTGTCTTCTTACCCCGCGAGGTGGTTACCGCCGAACGCCGCCGCCATGGGCTTTACCTTCCCAGCCGCCATGGCATCCACCAGCGCCACCTTGCCTGGTTGGTCGATGCTCGACCGCTTCGTGTTCTGGAGCGAGAACTTCGCCTTCCCCAAGGACGCCGCCTCAACCCTGGCCTCCGGCACCAACTCCATGGACCAAAAGTTCCGGATCTGCTTCAAACTCGTCGACCCGCCGGAGGTGTCCCGCCTTTATCTGCAAATGGAGAAGGCCTGTGGCAGTCCCACAGCTTCGAAATCGTCGCCGCCCACCGCGCCGCGGTCCTCCTCCAGATGAGCTACCTTATCCAGGTGCCAGGCCACGACGCCATCATCCCGATGATCGACCACTTCCTCTACCGCACCGCCGGCGGTGGCTCCCCGCCGTCTCTGGAGCGGCTCCCCCCTCTTGACGGGACCATCGCCCAGCTCCAGGACCGAATCAAGGCCCGGGCCAGTGACGACGCCACCACGAATCAGCTTTTGCGCAGGGTGCGGGGCCTGGACCTAGGCGTCCTGTGCCGCGGAGGGGACGAGGTCGCCGTCGCAGAGCTCGAGATCACCGGGTCCATGGCGCCGCCCAAGCTCCACGTCCTGTGCCCGTCCACCTCTAGCAGCTGGGAGGTCAAGCATCCGCCCATCATTCCCTGCGACGCCGCCAGGGAATTTGATCTGGGGGAGTTCTTGAGGTGCTTTGATGCTCACGCGGTCGTCCCCTTCAGGAGCTACCTGTGCTGGGTCGATTACTCCCTTGGTATCCTGTTCTGCGATGTGTTCGATGAGAGCCCCAGGCTCCTACACCTGGAACTCCCAGCTAAATTGCCCCAATTGCATCTCGAAGTCATGGGCCGAGCATGGGCGGAGGCATACCACGCCGTCGGCGTCACAGAGGGCGAGGCCATGAAATTTGTCAAACTTGTCCGTGACAAGGACGAGTTCTCTGAAACCATGGCGCCTGCCACCGATGCTTTCACCATCACCTCCTGGGCACTGAGAATAACAGAAAGCGACGGCATGATGAAGTGGGAGCAGGATGCATTTCTCAGATCCAGCGAGATCGGGTTTGATGGATTCACACATCTTCCTCGTACCCCATTGGAATTACCTCTCATCAGCATGTATGAGCCCAGTGTCGTTTACTTCATGATCGGGCAGGACCAGGCGTCGTACATGTATAATAAGGTATGGATTGTTGCCGTTGACATTAGCAACGGCAAGGTGAAGTCTTCATCTGCATACATCAATGGTGTAGGACAGGTGGGGGACCTCTGTGGTGAGGAAGCGCTGTACTTTGCCAGAGAAAAACCCCAGTGTTACACTAGCTTTCTTACCTGCCGACTTCGCCAAGCACCTTAATGTGCTTGGAACCAGGTAATTGCTTCTCATGTACTAACTCTGTAAAGAAATGTAAGAGCGTTTAGATAGTGATCTAAACCCTCTTATATTTCTTTACAGAGGGAGTACGTATGTATTTCGTGGTTTGTTTACAATATTCATTTAAACTGCCCCCTTTGGTTTTGTGTCCAAGGGTAGTCTTGATCTTACTTCCAGTAAACAAAAATAACCTGGGATCTAGAGTTTGGAATTTGAATCAAAATTTTGAAGAGAGTTGTTAGTTGGCTGTGACCAAGAGGAGTACTGTCTTCCTCTCAGTTTTTCTCATCGTATTACCTGTGCACATCTGTATGATGGCCATCCTTCAAGGCTTCAACCAAATCTCTCAACCTGTAATTTCCAGCAAGTTAAGCTGCACCTGCTACCACCGAGGCTTTGGGTACTTCTTTTTGAGATGCAACCATTTATATGGCACTGCGCGGCCTTGCACTGCCCCCACGGTGCTGGGTGCCATGGTTTCACTTTCACCTGTCTAACTCCATGGCTTTTTTTTTTTGAGATTTTTTTTTAGAATTGTCCAACTCCATGGCTTTGGCAACACCCTGCCTGCACCATTGCGGCCCATGCATGCCTTACACCAGCACATTTGCTACCTCACACGGTAAGTGTACCTGACAATCACATATAGGTCTGGTCATTTGCACTACAAAACCTAATTTTATTAGTCAAGGCATACATGTGACTTGATATCCGAAAGGTTCTAATTTCCAACATCAGTTGTACGTACTCTTACTCTAAGCGGCTAACCCTAAAATCTGGATTGATCCATCATCTATATAGTGAAACATTGGTAAGTACGTATTCTCTCTTTGTACTACTTGTATTCACTGTGGGCCATACGATCTTATGCTGCCTGGAGTCTGCAAGCAACCAAAACACCAGCACATGAGCAGTTTTATGTTCTGCTTATGTAACTCAGCGTTCTGTTTGTGTTGTAAGAAGTGCTCCCTCGGTTCGAAAATTTGAACCAAAACCAAGACACTTATTTTCGAGCGGAGGGAATACATTTTTCCATCCTCGTTCATCTCATATTGGGTATACACAACCATAACGGTGATATTCTGCACTGCGCCTATCTGAATCAACCACGGGCGTTCTATTAACTCGGCAGTGTTCTTGTAGGCCTGGTCTTCTCCAAGGTGTTACCAGTTTGTCGAAACGTGTCAGCTCTGTCACCGCAACCCCACCAGCCAACTTGCCTTAGACTACTGTATAAGCCTGGTTCTGACGACGAAACAAACACCGATCCCGCTCTGCATTGGCTCCACGGAGGCAAGAAATTCAGTTAATGCGACCCGCACGCGCATGCAATCTTCTGAATAATAAGCTGAAGACTTAGGAATTAAGAAGAAGAAGGGACGAGGAGGCGGCGGCGGAGCAGGACAAAGTCTTGGGCCGTCGCTTTCCTGGCCTACTCACTCGTGAACCGTGAGTGAGATGTAAAAGGCGCGGGCGCACTTTGTGCACCGACCTTCCTCGCCGGTTTCTGTCGTCGTCGGCCGCCACCACCCCAGTAAACATATTGTACGCGCGGTGGTGGGAGTGGTTGCATACCATGCTCCCCTACCCCACCCCTCTTCTTCTACCGCAAGTAAACGATGCACTTTATTGATTCCTGGGTATCTAGCCGCCGATCAACAGTTGTAGCTTGAACATAACATGGTGTTGGTGTGTTGTGCTATTGATCAATGAAAGTGAAATCTGATGTGATCTTGAAAATTTACACGAAAAGAAAAACCCAAAATGCCTAAGAGCATCTCTAGCAGACCCCGCAAAATCCCAACCCGCATAAGCCTTTTGCAGTTCGCGGAAAAGTGTATATGCAGACCGGCGCGGGCGAGGTCAGACTCAGACCCCGCAAAATGGACTCGTGAAAAAGGATATTCGGCTAGTATGCTCTTTTATGGGTCGGCTACGCGGGGTTTGCTCGGGCACCGCCGCGTCGATCCGCAACCGAAGACGCCCAATTATCGAATTTGACATCGGTTTCGACAAATAAGTTCAAATTCAAACAATAGAACACAGTTCACACGCAAATAAAAGCTTAAGTTTTGTAGGACAAACGGAAAAGAGGGTCTTGCAAAAGTGACGATCACGTCCGGCATCATCTTGGTCGATCTTCACTCTGCGCCATCGAGTCCATGGAGTTCATCGGAATCACCGAATCCACCTCCGGCGCTTGTTCCAACTCCTGCACCGAAATCATCGACATTGGTTCCAAACCCCGCTGAGAAAACATCCCCGACATTGTAACACGCACTGGCCGACGCAACCATTCTCCTCTTCAAGATTTCTCTTCTTGCCATATCATAGCATTCTTTGGTGAGGCCGTCCATGTCATTGCGGTTCATTGTCATGGTCTTGTTCTCTTCGGCGAGCAACTTGGACATGGCTTTGTTTTCAGCGGCACGTGCTCTTCTCTCCTCAATGGACGCTTTGCGTAGCCCTTCTTCCTTGAGCAATTGCCATTTTTCTTGCTTCTCCCTTGCCTTCTTCTCGGCCAACTCTTTCTTGATCTCCAACGACTCCAGTAACATCAACTCATTTGATTGCACCATGACATCAATCTTCTCCTTCAAGCTCGACGCTTCGTGCTCTCTCTTCATCTTATCCTTAGTCTTCTTGTCGCCATCAGGCTTGTTCAAGTTTCTTGGGCCATCATCGTCCTCATCTTCATCCATGTTTGTAAGTGAACCTCTCTTCGGTGGGGATTCTTTGTCAATCAACTTCCACTTCTCGCACTCTTTGAGCAAGTCCCAACAATGCTCTAGTTTGATTGCCTTCCGAAGCTTCCATGTCTTTGTATCTATGTTGGGCAATTTTGTCCTACACAATTTGAACAAAGTTAAATGATGCAATATGATGTGCACAACTTGAACAAAGTCAAAACGAACTCACATAGTTGGATTCCACGGTTTCACTTGGAGGTGCATTGCGTACTTGCTCCAAGCAAGCTGCCCAACGACTGCAAATAGGCTTGATCACATCCCAACGCCCTTGAAGCGACCGGAAGGTGCATGGAGTCCTATCGGGATACTTTGCCATCATGCCGAAGTATTGATCTTCGATCCTTTGCCAATACCTCTTGGCGGTTTGAGAAGTACTCGTGCATGCATCAAGAGACACCGCACTCCATGCCTTGATCAAGATTTGATCTTCCAAGATTGTGTAGTTCTTCGATCTCTGGCTTTTTCCACTTTTTGTTTGCGATTGCTCATACACCCCCTCATCGATCTCCTCCACTTCTTCCTCACCACCATGATCATCCACGCCGCCCTCAGTTTCATTGTAATCGAATGCGGCGAACGGGGCTTGATCGATGACAACGGCGTTGGTGTCCAACAAGTTCACGAACTCGGCAGTTGCATTGTTCGAACCACCGCTATATAGTGAACGACAACAAGTCACGAGCTATCGCAAATGGCGAAAAGCAAAGAAAATTTCCATGAGCGAAGACGCATACCTTCCGCCCATTTCGTCAAACACCTCGCTTGCGGTGGGAGCAGTACCGTTGATTGGCATCGCCGAGGAACCTCTTGCCGGGCCGGAGGGAGTGGATGAAGGAGCCGGCTTCTTTGTAGCCGGAATCTTCTTCCGATTTATGCCGGAGACCTTGCCAACCTTCTCCGCCATCGATCGGGATCGCGCAGCGGTGTTAGCGCCCGAAGCACGGGCCTTCGTGGCGGGGGCAGCCGGATTCCCGCCCTGCATGACCACGTTGCCCTGTCCCTTGCGGGTAGGTGCAGTGGTGCCTTGGGCGACGGTGGGGCCAACATGGCCGACAATGAGATCCACCCGAAGGGATTGAGCGTGCGAGACCTCAACGGTGACGGGAGACAACAGGGAGTCATCCATGGCGATGAAGGACTGCCGGGGAAGATGCACCGGAGCGGGAGGTGGCGGGGCAATGATGGCGGAGGGTGGGGGGAGCGGGAATGGCTGCGCGGAAATGTCCCTCCCGCCAAATCTCGCTGTAGATAGGGGCCGAGCTCGGGTCGTCCTCCCACCCCGTGAATCTAGAGGTCGGGGGAGGTCTTTTGCCGCGCCCCGCAAAATTTTTTACGGGTCGGACGCGTATGTGGTGTCTGATCGGGCAGGTTTTCCCGCGCCGACCCGTATTTTGGCGGCTATTTTGCGGGGCGGGGAGGGATGGGGGGTCTGCTAGAGATGCTCTAATACCGATAGACCGCGGGGGATAATCGTTGTTGGTCGCCAGGGGATTGGATGGCAAGCGAATGGGGGAGGTGGCAGTTTTCAATTTTTTTTGAAACAAAATACCCAATACTTTATTCATTGGAAATAACAGTTACATCGTTTATGAGGAGAGGTATAATTTTAATTGGAGGTTCCTCAAACTAATTCAACGTCAAAGAAAATCTACCTAGCAAGCTCATGAGCAACTTTGTTTGCATCCCTATTGCAATGTTAATCTAGTTATAATAGAATCACAAACAAGATGATAGCAATCCTGCAAAATCGCTGCCACCGCTCACAAATAATGACCACTCATCTTCATCATTTCAATGACCTCCAGGTTGTCAGAGTTAATAACGAGACGATTGCATCCTATACTTTGCTCAAGGGTAAGACCAAATCTGAGCGCTAAAGCTTCGGCTACCAGGGCATCCGCACAGTTGTTGATCTTCCCATTCCCTCCAGCAATGAAGTTTTCTTTATCATCCCTCAAAACCGCCCGTGTCGTACCCTTAAGAAGTCTTGATCAAAAGAAACATCAACTTTAAGTTTGACAAAAACCCCAGGGGGCAGGGGTGGCAGTTTTTAGAAAGTGCCATGTCAGTTCCTTCCTTCCATGGTCTTTTTGCTTCTTTTCTTGGATTATTTGAGAAAACTGCCATCCATCGGATGGAGATCGTGCGGTTCAGGGAGGGTTCGTGGGGAACGCCAGCCATCTAAGATTTCCCATTTTGTTCATATGATCCAAGAAAAGGACCGAGTTCTACTATCGACTATAATGGAACGAAAGAATTATCCGAGTCTCATCTAACTCATACACCATTTGATTTTACATAGAAATTCATGCGAATTTTCTTTTTTGTTTGACCAATCAAATGGTATAGGTGTTACACGAGAATTAGCATATCAATATTGCTTGAGATTTTCTTGTGCTAAGGTAGAAATAAAGAGAAACAAATGCGTATGTGAGTGGAATCAAATGGTTATTTGAATTATGGGTGGACCAAAAGCTCGTAGCTCGCGAGTTTAACGACTGCTCAGTATCTTGGCTCATTAAGCTTGTATACTTCTTAATGAACAAAGCCAATCACTAGTTCCAACTTGTTAAACTTAACAAGCTTAACGAACAAGCTAGCTGGTTTCAGGAGCAGATCGTTAAGCTTTGCAATACTTCTTAATGAGATAGATCAGTCACTAGTTTCAACTTGTTAAACATAACAAGCTTAACCAACGCGCTAACTAGTTAGGGAAGCAGATCGTTAAGCTTGTTAATACAACACAACACATATTCTTATTTTAAATGACAATATGTCGGGGCACCTCAACCCTTCTATTCGATCTAATTGACCCAACCCAACCCATAGGGAGTAGCAACTAGCGCACCTCCTCCCGTACCCACCTTCTTGTTTTGTAAACAATCACAACTGAACACTTGTCCCATGTAAATTGCAATACCTCATAGTTGAGCAAAAGAAGGTAATGCTTGTTAACAAATGTTCGCGTGCTTAATGACAACGAACAAGTCAAGCAGGTTTTTGCTCGTTAAACTTAACGAGCTTAACTAGCACGAGCAGCTCATTGATTCACCCCTATTTTGACAGCGAAAATCCTAATCTTATGGGAGGGAGGGTTACCGAGGGGGATTTTCCAGACCCTCTCCCACTAACCCGCCCTGATTTTCATCGAGTAACAGTAGTTCCATAAGAATCTGTCAGTAGGTGTAGCTTCTCTCATGGCTGCATCATCTGCCTCTCCCGGTATCAAACCCCATCCTTTGTTGTTTGTATCTTGGCAAGGCAGAAATATGGCAAGCATGGTTCATGGCTGTTGATATGATACATAACCTAAGCGCTTGCTACGAATGGTTTTAGGGCATTAGAAAAGCGAGCAGGTGACACACGAGCTGTGTCTCTCTCTTGCCACGAACACCTGGCCCTGACTGTACTCGGCAAAAGCGCGCGCGACTAGGGCCCCCACCCACCCACCGTCAGATCGTCGTTCCACGTACACGTTTGCTTGGTGCAAAGCTTTCCCGTTGCGCGCGCAGATCTCCGTCCCCTCCACTATGGCCTTAACCCTTAAGCAACCAAGCCGCCTCCCTCCCTCCACCCCTCGCCTAAGCCTAACTAATCGAAGCTTGCGCGCGCGCGCGCCCGCTCCCTATATAACCAACGCAGACACGACCACGAGACGCCTCCGATCCACCTTAGCTTCCCGGATAGAGCCACCACCGTCTCACTAGCTAGCACTACCTCTCACAGTCACAGCTGAAGCAAGGAGGTCGCACCGAGGCAGGGGGAGGGCAGCTGCGGCGGCAGACCGGCCGGTCCGAGCGACATGCACAGAGCTTCACCGTGGAACTCCTCTTCTTCCACTTGGTCTTGGTCATCGTCGTCTTCCTCCCCGCGCAGCAGCAAGCGCGCCCGCCTCGCCGCCGCCAGCGCCAGCAGGCTGCTGCCCTGGCCCTCGCCGCGCGGACCGGCCAGCCATGGCGTCGCCCTTTCTGCCCGGCTCTTCTTCCTCTTCCGCTTCGTCGCCCCTCTCTTACCTGATCCCTAGGCAGCCGCCGCCTTCCTCCGTCGTGGCGCAGGGCTTCTCATGCGGCGCTCTGGCGCAGCAGGCCGGGGGATTATACTGTGGCGACGGCGTCGGCGCGGCGGGCGGCGTCGGGGCGGTGGAGGTGAGGCAGGGGGGCAGGCACGCGGGCCACCCGCCGCTGCCGCGCCCGCCGCCGCGGCAGTGCCCCCGGTGCAGGTCGGCCAACACCAAGTTCTGCTACTACAACAACTACAGCCGCAAGCAGCCGCGCTACTTCTGCCGGGCGTGCCGCCGGCACTGGACCGAGGGCGGCACGCTCCGCGACGTGCCCGTCGGTGGCGGCCGCAAGAACAGGCGCAACGGCGGTGGCAAGGGCGGCGCTAAGGCCCCCTCCACCGTCGTCACCACGGAGGTGTCTACTGCGGCGGCGACGGCGGCTACCCAGGGCAGCGGTGCAGGCGGACCGGCCGGCGCCGTCGACGCGTTCATCCCGGCCGACATCCTGAGGCAGATGCTGTCCCAGTCGGGGAGCTTCACGGCCGTCGGCGGGGGCGGCGGCTACGGCATCGACCTGAGCGCGTGGCAGCAAATGACCGGTGCCGCAGCAGCACCGCAGGGCGCCAGCGATGTTGGCGCGGCCGGAGGGACGGCTCCGGCGGCAGATGCCAACTGCGGCACAGGTGCGCAGTACTGGAGCGGATGGCAGCTGCAGGATGACATGCCCGGTTTCGACGGGACTTTCTAAGTACGACGTGAGCTTCAGGGCGGGAGGTTCCGCCGTTCGTCTAGCTGCAGCCTTACCAGTAGATCGGCCAAATCCTACGATGTTCCGGACGGAAGAAAATGACAATCTGTGCACTTTGGCTTGTGGTTTTGCTGCAAAATAGTTCTTCGATCTGCCACTATATATAAGTAATATAAGTCCGGAGTACATGTTTGTATAACGGTGCCAGTATTCCTCTCGTAGTACTTGCTTAATATAGTACAGTAATATACTACTTCCTCCGTTCCAAAATAGATGACCCAACTTTACATCAACTTTGTACTAAAGTTAGTATAAAATTAGATCATCTATTTTGGAACGTAGGAAGTAAATGTAAAGACTTTGGACCGTGCGAAGTCAGCGACGGTATATTTCGCTCTACTATATGTGCGGTAATTTGGCATTTTTCAAGCAATTTCATGCCCCCTCCCCAGTCACTCAAGGTAATGGCTATTTTTTGAAAGAAATAGGCTTCTGCATCATTGTTATGCACACAATCATTTTTGTTAATCTAAGCAGATTACAAAACAAACATGATCACGATCAAATCATAACAAGATAAGAAAAACACCTACGATTGAGTCGATTTCTTCCACATCGACTTCTTACACAGCAACCTCTTCATGAAGAGAGAAGCTTCCTTCCGTCGTCGGTGAAATCCCACGATGTTCTCGATGAAAAAATGACAATCTATGCACTTTGGCTTGTGGTTTTGCGGCTAGGACTACAAAAAAGTTATTGGATCTGCCACTAGTAAGAAATATAACAGTGTCAGTATTCCTTGATCGGGGTCTGCTCCAGTACACCCTTGCAAAAATTAAAAACGCTTTTGCTATTTCTCGAGTGCCGAAACTTTTTCATGCGTTAGTCATTTTACTTTGGTCACGCCGACGGAGAAGAAACCTCGCCGAAGATTGTGGGAAATCTATCTTAGGGGGAAATGACAGCCCCATTATCTATTTTAGGGGGGGGGGGGGTGGTAGCCCCACTATCTATCTTATTAGGGGTGAGGGGTCCAAGGGATCCCTCAAGTCAGGGGCGGCGCCAGGTTTCTTCTTGGGTATTCGGTTGAATACCCAAGATTTTGACAAACCATTGAGATTTTATATAAAACAGGCGATATTTTTTGTAAAACAGTGATGATTTTGGTAAAATGAATACCCTGCACCAAAATGAATACCCACCCTCTAAAACCTGGCGCCGCCACTGCCTCAAGTTGTTCAGTGGTGCGGGGCTAAGCCGCCGGCTGCAAGGGTGGAGGTAGGCGGTCAGGCCAGGGTTGGCCGACAGCTATGTGATGAAGAAGAAGCTGGAGGTTGAAGATGAACAGCGACATATCTGTTTTCAGCCATTGGGTAAAGATCAGGCGGTCCAGAACAGAAGTGACTGATGCAGCTTCTTTTTAGGTACCTCTGTACCTGATGCATAGATGGACCCTAATTAAACATGATAATCAAGCTCTAAGGCCATCGCTTCGAGGTAGGCGACGGGAAAGACACAAAATTTAGAGGCTGTTTGGATGGGAGCCATCTCCTGCCTTGCCAATATATTGGCGTTGACTAAAGAGTTTGCATCCCATTTGTATGGAGACCAAAATTTTGGCATGCCATCTCGCCCCAACCTTTCTTCTCTACTTCTGTGCCAAAGCGCTGGCAACAAGAGCGCCCGAATTGGCCGCCAATTTTTCGGTTTGCCCATGATGACCACGATTTGGCAGGGCGGTCTTGGGCAGAAACCAAAAAACCCGTCTGACTAGCTAAGAGGTTGTCGGATTTTCATCTATATGCCACCTACCCTAACCTGTTTGTCATTGCTTCGGACCCCAACATCCTGGTTAAGGACACTCTTAGAGACAACCTGATCAACATTACCTTTCTCAGAAACCTAAACGGTGTGGAGCGGATCACTGTGGACTCTCTGGTGATCGCGTTGAGTAGACCCGAAGGTGGACAAGGTGTCCTTGTCGCTTGAGGCTAAGGGACATTTCTCCGTTAAATCAACATACCTAGACTTACTTGGGGGCGTATAATTCCTTTCCATAAACCTCTATGGTCTACAATGGCTCCTCTCAAAGTTAGAATTTTTCTCTGGCAAGCCAATAGAGGCAAACTTCTTCAGCGATGAACATGTTCAAGAGGCATGGCCCAAGGAATGGTACATACGCTCTCTGTGACACAGACACCGATCACATCCTCTTCAAGTGCCCCTTGGTGGTCTTTCTTTGGAGTTGTCCTTTAATTGCGGTCTTTCTTTTGAGTTGTGTGTATCAATCCTTTAATTGCTATTTGCCCCCAAAAAAACTCGTTTGAGGACCTTCTCAGTATCTTAGCTAACACGAAAGGACAATTTTTAGCTTGGTAGACATTGGTGGCGATGACTTGGGCGCTATGGACTTGTTGTAACAAATTACCTGTGAGAAGAGCCTTTAAATGGTTTATCCTTTTGCAACCTAATTTTGCATTATAGATGTCTTCTAATCATCTCTTTCATGTTGATGATGTATGAACTATTATTGTTTCTTTGCTGTAAGACGATGTTAGCCTTGGTCGCTTTATTAATTTATAAAGCCAGGCACCTCTTGCGCCTTTTATCAAAAAGATAGCCTACTCATTCCTCGATGGGGAAAAGTACACAATGTCGATTATCTGACGGGCAATGAGAATGGATCAAGGCTAATCTGTGGCATGATTGCATAAGTTCTCACCGGGATTACTTTGTACTGTATCTCGAATCAGTAATACTAACAGAGTGGCATAAATTGCATGAACTCAAATGTTGTAGGAGGCTTCCAAGCCTGGATGAAGCAGGTAACTACAGAACCAAAGCAGCAAATGCATCAAAACAACATCGTGTTCCAACAGCATCGCTTTGTCCGGTCAAAAGCACACTATCAGACTGTCGAGGACGACTGAGCTTTGACACCTGCAATCAGCCAAACATTCACCCGTTAATTCAAACAGACTTACAGAAATATTTTGTACAGTATTAAGCTACTTTGGCAACTCCATGCCTACGGCTTGACAACTGCAAGGATGAAGACAAAAAAACCTACGGTGTTTCATCAAAATATTTCGAACCAAGCTTGAAAATAATCCATCATGCTAATAGCATTTTTAGGCGATGTTGGAAACCACAATTGCTATTAGAGAAAATAAAGAGTGGTAGTCAACATTTTGTTCATACTAAACTACTAGAAATCTCAAGCATCTTATCAAGTAAAGTGGACACAACAATCTGCAATTGTCTTATTGATGTAAATAGGAATGAGCCTACATAACCCATCAAGATTTATACAAAGCAACAGTGCATTTCATGCTACAGTTATTAGCATATTGACGCATCTAATGATAATGTCATAGTACTAGCTGTTGTAATATGCTAATAAAATTATATAAAGAGCAAAAACATGCATATTAGCGTACTTGCTTCACCATTATCCCCAGCTGTCAGTTGCTTCTTTGTAGCTAGACAGTCCTCCATCTGTTCTGTCATTGGTCTCTTTCTTGGATGGGAACCCTGACGAGCACTCTCAGTAAAACAAACTTCTTGAGCTGTGTCTAGCCAAAAATAATAATATAATTAAGGTCACGGAGTAAGTATCAGCTAGACAAATACACTTAAAACCAAAAAGTTATGTCTGATATAGTTCAACAGGTAAGCATTTCGAAGGACCTCCTGTCGTGGTTCTAAGTCTGACAGTAGGATGGAGGGTAGGTATGGAGAGGCAAGATCCTAGCTATGGAGTAGTTGTACACACGAGTATTTAACGAGTTCAGGCCCTTCTCTGAGGAAGTAATATCCCTACGTCTCGGAGCCTGGAGGCGGTCGACTGGTTTATGTGTATATGAGTTACAGGGGTGCGAACCCTTCTACCAGTGGAGGGGGTGGCTTAGATAGAGGACGCCAGGACCCCAGCCAACCCACGTAGCAGAGGGTTAAAGTACATTAAGGCTGGGCGTTACTGGTAACGCCATACATAAAGTGTCATCATGACCATTAAGACTACTTAATTACAGACCGTTTGGATACAGAGTAGATCCTAAACTCCTGGTGGTCGAGTGAGTCTTCATGGTCGAGTGTCTTCTAGCCGGTCGAGTGGAGTCCCTCTTGGTCGACTGGAAGGTAGCTTCGTCTAAGGATGTCCTTGTGTATGGTATCCTAGATAGGTCCATGACCCTACCCTAGGTACATAACATCATCATTTGCCCCCGAATGGATCGAGGTTCGAGTGAGGAAGGAGTTGATGATTTTCTCCGACCTATCTCCCGTGCTTTGATTATGTCGTATCCTGGATCGGTGATTTCTCTTTCTGCGTTGGCTTCAACTTTTACTTCAGTCGCCTTGATCCATTCTTGTCTTCCGTCGAGTGAACTTTTGAACTTCAGTGAACTTCCGAGCGACGGATCGTAGGAAAGATATCGTCTGACAGATTGATCTGCCGTTAGCGGATTTTACGGGATCCGAATTTTGGGAAGCGCGCGAAACGGGGTGGACCGCGGTACTTGGAAGGGATAAGGCGTGGACGCCTCGATTTCCGCGCCGCCTTTTTCGCCACGTATCGTGCGTGCGCGACTGTTTCGGGATGTGACAGGACCGCCCGGACCCACTCGTCAGCCACTCGGAAGTGCCCTTATATAAAGCGCCGGGCGAGGGTTTTTTGAACAGTGCCTTCCCATTCTTCTCTCCGCCCTCTTTGCCTCCGCCCGCTGCGCCTGCTCTCGCCTCCGCCTATCCACTCCTCGCGTGTTTCACCGGCGACAATGGTGAAGGAGAAGACGGCGGCCTTAGAGCACGCGAAGAAGGCGATGGCGACGGGGAAAGCGAAGGGGAGGCCGTCCAGTCGGGGCGGATCTTCGTCAAGGTCCCGCCTGCCAAAAGGTTGGGTCCAAGGGGATTGGATCCGCTCGACCATCACCGAGACGGATCTCAACGACCTGGACAATGAGGGACTGATCCCCCATGGGTCAGCAAGGCTCCCGGGG